GTACTGTACTCCTAGACACAGCCTCACTAACCCGTTGTAATACAGTAGTTCCTTCTACTGTATTTCTACAGTACGATAGTTACCAAAACTGAATGTTGAACCATAATTACTAATATTTAATCGTTATTGATTAATTCTGGACAAAAAAAACAGAAGAGTATCAAGTTGCACTATAGTCAGCGATTATCTTTTTGAGTTGATGTAATATTTCGTACGTCTGCCTCACGACCATAACTAATGCAATAACACTGTGCAAATTGTATACTTTACTACTGCGTATAGTACTGTATTAGGTAAAGAGCTTACACTATGGAACTACAGTAGTAAGATTCTCATAATGATGTAATGTTACAGATTAAAAATAAACAAAATCAAAAAATACCATGCATTCAAACCCTCCATTCTGTACAATGTACATGTACAGTACAGTATAGGCAAGTGCACACCATATTGTAAGAGTAGGCATTATATTGCAACAAATCTATAAATGAGACTGGAGCTGACCAGTAGTGGTTATTTTGGTGAAGCACCCATCCAAAATTTGGCTTTTACTTGTGTATCTACAAGTTATTTACGTTAAAATCGACAACGAACAACAAGAGAATTGCAAGACGGAAGGATCGATGATAACCTTAACGATAGCACTACTATTTTTATCATCGTCAGTTGGAGATGCTGCTAAAATTGTTGTCGCACCAATGTATGGTAAAAGCCATGTTTTAGCGTTCGATTTGCTATCAGAGGAATTAATACGACGAGGTCATGAGGTAAAACAACAATGACAGTAATTTAGACTAGATACACTGTTTAACAGCTACTTAAATAATTACCTACCTACAATTTGTTAATTAATTAGAGATCGTGCTATTTTTTTTATTACCGCAACACTGTACCATGGTAAAAATGTTTCCTTTACTTTATCAGCTATTTCTATACAATTTATAATTTATATAGAATTAGCTCAGAATGTGCAGTAAATAGCAACCAAATCTATTATAATTAATTATTATTGAGCATCGATAGGGGAGGGTCGGCATTGTTAATCCTGTAGTGCATTAAATGCAGTAAACTTGTTACTTCTTCGTCGGTCTATTAATTTCTTCGTGTACATTTTGAACGCGACAATATAATATCTACAATTATGGCAACTTTCGAGTAATTTATAGTGAGGTACTACGGTATTAGGGTTGCAATTTATAAGCGTACTCTGCAGTCATTAATGTAAAATTAATTAATTAATTAATCAATTAATTGATAGGCCGCAAATGTATTCTTAAAAAATCTCTAGTTCCTTATGATGATAGACTTATGTCCATATTTTGATGCACAATTACACTAAAAATCATACACAAGACATACAATTATATGCATACAATGGTATTGCTGTACATTCGTGTGCTTCTATCTCTGCTCATTGCGATTGCTGGAATAAATAATATAACATGTGAAGTAGTAGCAATAAAAAAATGTTGATGATGATATAATTATAGTTAGTATTGAAGAAGTATACGCGTGCTTCTTGGCATTGTTAGCACTTAAATAATTAATAATTTATCTACATTAACTCTAATTTATACAATATATACGTATATATCCAATGTGATTAGGTTACCATGGTGGTGGAAAAAGTGAATATTTTACCTAATATGAAAACTCCTGTAGATATTTATACGGTTTCGAAACCACTTGATGAACACGAAATATCAGTTAAATATCTGAGAGAAAATAAGTTAATCGAGGGCTTCAACGAACTTATGAAGCTGCAATTTGATCATG